GAGGAAATATTAATAGCAACCTTGTATATTAATGAAAAAAGCGTAATTATTTATGTAGGAAAAATGAATTCAAAATTTTTTTAAAAAATAAAAGAATAAAACGCAATATTAATTATTAAATTAATAAGCATTAAATAGATTTGAGAATTAATTTGTTTTTATTTAGTTGAGTATGCAAACTAAATCATTAATATACTTTATACATTATATTAATTTAAAAGTCAATTTATATTTTAAAACTTAAAGACCAACAAGATGATTTAAGAAAATGTAAGGGGACTAATCAAATTAAACTTGAGAAATTTAAAATTTTTTTATCCCTTTATTTGCTATTTCATACATAGGTTTGTTTTGTCTTGAAATGTTTACACGTTACCAAGACTAAAAGCGAAGAAGCATCCAAATATGAAAGAAAAAGATTGAAAAGTTTCGTGCACGTCTAATACATGGAAAAATGATGCTTTAAAAAAAAAAAAATAGAAAGTGCACCCATATGATATGAGTTGAGCATTGGATCTACCGTCCATGAAAGCGTTGAAAGTAGAGAAGCATGCAATTTACCATTTGAAGCGCTAAGACAACAGTGTTTATTATAGTATAAATTTTATTTTTCTCAAGATGATACATGCAAGGACAGGTCCCGGGGGAGGGGGGGGGAAGCAGGGTCCCTTGCCCACCATGTCACAAATTTCGGCTAAATTTTCATGATTTTTACTTAAAAAAATGGGGAAACAAATTTCGGGCTCCCACTTTCATGAATTTTTTTCATGTTGGCCCCCCATGTGTCATGTTCTGAATCCGTCACTGGATGCATGTGGTAACAAATTCTAGATTCAGGAATATTTTTTAATTTTTAATATACATAGTTACCCTCATGATAAGGTTAATACATTGCAAAACAAAAATTACTACTTATATTTTAATTTACACGGGATAACCAATGGTGGATTCAAGAATATTTATTGAGAGAAATTTGTTTTTTTATTAATCATGGGGAAGAAGTTAGTAAAAAGTATATTTTTTAAGGAAAAATTACATACAAGTTTTACATAAAAAAATTAATTACTGTAGAGTTTATTAACAATTGAACTAAGGCCAATGTATTGTCAATGACCTTAGTCTAATTGTTAATGAACTTTATAATAATTAATTTTTTTTGGTAGAACTTCAACGTAATTCTCCCTTTTTTAACCTGATTTTAAAATTTTTCCACATATTAATCAGAGAAAGAGTATAAATGTTTCAAGGGATTATACACTTTAAGATAAAATAAATAATTATTTTATATTTAATATGTATGGGAAAAACTATTTTTAATATAGAATAAATAATTATTTTAATTTTAAATCATTTAAATACTCTAAATATGATATTTTGAGCATACAAAATAAATTATTTTTAAATTTTTATGTTTTATTTCATTTTATTTTTATCTTTTAATATCAAAATATCTCATGCATTTTACAAAGAATAGATCTAGTTGCACATATACATAAAACATATATAGATATGTATATGTATATCACTTAATTTATTAAAAGAATGGTAGTTAAGTTTTAAAAGAGAAAATTAATGACATTTAGTTTCTCAAGAAAGTTTTTTTAAAAAAATCAGTTACAAATAAAAATTCAAAAATTTTTAAATTTAAAAATTTTAATTGTAAATATAATATTTAAATTTTAAATATAAAAATAAATTTGTAATTTAAATTTAAATTTATATTTATAATTATTTGAATTGATGTTTATAATTTATTTTATGAAATAATATTGTTAAGGACTTAAATATAATTAAGTTATCCTTTTAAACGTTATTGTCATTCTCTCTTATTTTCTCTCCATCGTTTTCTGAAAGTGAAGGGGGGGGGGTGTGGAGGAGGTCAATCATCAAGTCTTTCGATGACCTAATCAAGTTGGCATTTTCTTTAAATATTCAGAAATTATTGACTATTTTTTTTGGTAAAATTTAAAATTTAATTATTTTTACATGCCAATACCGTAGATGAGGATTCCTAAAATCATTTCTGGAAAATAGCCTCAAAAATCAAAATTGTTTTCATTCTCCAGTCAATAGGCAAATCTTCCCCACACCCAAAACAAGATCTTTATGCGACCTCGTCAATTCTCAACTTTTTTAATTTTAAGAAATTTTTATTATTAGAAAGAGTTAAAGTGTAATTTATAAACATATTTTATGGCGCTTTCTATCCAATTCATTTTCATTTAGTTTTTGTCAATAAAATTATCATTATATAAAAAGTGCATTGGTGGTTTTAAAAATAAAATAATCCGTTGACACGACATAATTATCCTCGTATATTAAATAAATCATACTATCATATTTAAAATTTAAATGAAAAATAGAAAAAATTTATAAAATATTTCTTTGGACAATAATTCTTCCTTCCATGATCATTTATGCAATATTTATTATTCTATCATTACTTATTTATTACTAAATACTATTTTTTATTTTTATTATTTTTAAATAAAAGTGCACATTTAGTTTTCCAACTTTTTATAAAATTTTAATTTTATCTCTTAATTTTATATAGTATATTTTCAGTTTGATTAAATTTCCCCTTTTTCATAACGAAAATAGAAAAAGACATGTCATAAAATTAAACCATCAAATTGAAATATTAAAACTAAATGATTAACTTTGTATTTTTTCTTGAGAAATTAAATAATACCATTAATATTTATATCGATATTAACATTTAATATAAAATACATTTCCTAGACCTTGTCAATAAGTCAATAAAACGTGAAATTAAATAATGTAAAATAGGAAAATAAATTTACTCTGCATCAATTATGGTTGGCGATTTCAACTTTGATTCCATCGCTGCGGACTTATAAAATAGAGGCAATGCGCTTCTCATTAATTAGAGCAAGCATCCAAAGGACACTTATGCTATGTTTGGGAACATTTAGATTTGGATTTAAATTTAAATTAAATTTATTGTTTGAATAATTAAAAATATATGGATTTTGATTTGATCCAAATTCAAATTTAAGTTTCACCTTAATTTCTTTATAATTTAAAATCATTTCTAAATTTTTATTATTTTAAATCCTAACTCAATCTCTTTTATAATTGAAACGAACCACTGAAATTGATAGAAACAAGTTGCTACCATTGATTGGGATCAAACTGACGTTGATGATTGGGGTGAGATGGCCTACTTCTTCTTGGACCAGACCGATGGCAAGGACTTGACGACAAACTTCCATCGAAATAGGACCAATGGTGATGATCGAGATAGGCTGGTTGATTTTTGCAGGGACCGAACCAAAGATGAAGATCAAGACAAGACAGCCAACTTTTGCCAGGACTAGACTCACGAGGATCGAATGATCGATTTTCTCAAGGATCGGGTCGATAGCGATGATCGAGACAGGATGACTGATTTCCCCTAGGACAGGATCGAAGGTGATAACGGGGATAGGACGGTCAATTTTTGCAAGGATCTGACCGTTGATGAAGACGAAGAAAGAACGACCAACTTCCACAAGGACCGGATCGACGACAATGGTGATGACGAAGACTCGATGGTAGACTTTCATTAGGATTGGATTGATGGTAATGGCAATGATGGGGACCTAACGGCAGACTTCCATCGAGATTAGACCGACGGCGACGAATGAGACTAGACAGCTGAATTTATCAAGACTGGACAATGGTGACGATCGAGACAAGACAGTTGACTTCCATAGGGACTAAACCGATAGTGATAACTAAGACAGGATGGCTGACTTTCATCGAGACCAAACCAATAATGACGGCCAAATTTCGCCTGGATCAAACCGACTGCGATGGCGACAACAGGGAATGGATGGTAGGTTTCGCAAGGACGGCAGGTTTCCCCTTCATTATCGTTAGTTCGATCTCAGTGGAAGTTAATCGTCTCGTCTCAGTTGTCAACAATGCTACAATCCTAGTCAACTTCGACTATCAACTTTAACCAATCATCTAAGTTTCTTTTAAATTCAAATATAGAATATAAAATTTGAAATATTACTTTATAAATTTTTTATATCATAATTTGAAATTTTTGATATCATTCAAACAAAGAATTTAAAATTCATGAATTTAAAAGAAATGTGAGATTTCAAATATGAAATTTTAAATTTAAATTTCAACTTAAATCCACCCTTCCAAACATAATCTTAAAGAGTTGTTTGGAATTATTTTTGTTTTATTGTTTTGAGAACTAATGTTTTATAAAATATGTTTTGAAAATTAAAAAATAAAAATAAGTATTTTTTACATTCTTCTTTGTTTTTTAAAATTCCAAAACACCCAAAAATGTTTTCATTTTTTTGTTCTCTAAAATAATATTTAATTTTTTTATTCTCCAAAATATTTTTTGAAAACATATTACTAAATAATTTTTTTTATTTTTTTTATTCTAAAAAATAAAAAACTTTTTTCAGAATAAGTTGTCGAAGAAGCCCTTAGTTAGCATTATTAGTGGAAGTTATGCACTATCTGTTAAATTTATTCACTTCCATCAATAATGGTCACATTTATTTTAACAATACTATGAAATTTATGCATCTCTTGTTAGTTTAACATCATGCATGTCTGATAGCATAATTATGATTTGTGAATAATATAATATATTCTACATTTTAATGTATTGATATTAAAGTATTGATACATCCATGTTTTATTTCAATTGGGAGTTTCCCAAAGGCATTAAAGCAACACAAAAAACGTCAAATATAATTTGCCCGTTTCTATACTTTGAAAAAGAAAACTACTAAACGTATTTAATCAATCAATGAATATCAACTAGCCTAAATCAAAACAACAAATGTTTTCAATTTTCATTCAACAATATGGGTTTCTACTTTTATTGCATCCAATAAAGGAACCGATCAATCGAGGAAGTGTGACATTAATTCCTTCCCATTTATAAATCTCTCAACCACACAATTCCCCCTTCAATATACCAACAAAACATTCTTATTTAGCAACATCATCGATCAAACATGGCTTCAGGATCCAAATCCTCAAAAAACAACATTTACTCGATGCTTTCTTGCGTAGCCACAACATTAATGTTCCTGTCAATTCTGAACGTTCCAATAAAATCTCAAGCAAGGGACATGAGTACCATTTTTGCAGGGCCAGCCTACGCAGAAGAAGCAGCAAAATGCTTCTCTGCCCTAACAGACGTACCAGGTATTAAAGTTCATGCAGTAAAGTACATATATTTGTCTTTTTATCAAAATAGATTAAATCAATTTAACAAGACTTACCTTAAGGTTATATATCTTCAATTCATTCTTTAGTTAATGAAACTTTAATTTTAATACATTCTAATATTTCTCTTACAATTTTTTCCATCTTTTCTTTTTTAGCCTTTGTCTTTCATTCGTCCCTTTTGTTTGTTTTTTTTTTTTTTGATATCTTTGGATGGGCTTGAATTTCTTTTTAAGCTTCAGAGGTTCAGATCCACAATCTTCATTTTTCATTTTTTTCCTTTCTTTTTTTCTCTTTATTTTTTTTTTCACGTCCCAAATTGAATAACTTTGATATCATAAACTTTAAGTAATAATATATATATATATATATATTAGTTTTGTCTTTCTAACAAAATAAATTAAACTATTTTAATAGGACTTATCTTAAGGTTATATATCTTTAATTCATTATTTTGTTAATCAATATGAGACTTTTTAATAATTCTAATATTTCTCCTCTCTCTCTCTCTATTTTTTCCGTCTTAGTCCTCCATTCATTCATTTTTTTTCTCTCCTTGCCTGGACTTGTAATTTTTTTCTTCCTTTTCAGTCTCAAAAAGCTCAAGTCCACAATCTTCATTTTTCATATTTTGCTTTCCCCCCTTCCTTCATTCTCTCTATTTTTTTGCATCCCAAATTCAATGGCTCTGATATCACATTAAACTTTATAAAACAAGGTACTTCCTTCATTTCAAATTGTAAGATACTTTTAGACAAAATCTCATATGTCAATAAACTGCATTAATTACACCTAACAACTTTATCTTTCCAACATAAAAATATAAACTTCCAAAAATATTTATAATTTAATATATTAAAAAAAGAATGGACAAAAATTAATTATAGAGAGGGAAAGGGTAATATTAAAATTGATACATTTAATGAAACCTTAATATATTCAAAGTATCTTATATTTTGAGACGAAAAAACTCTGTTAAAAGTATCCTGTAATTTGGAACAGAGGGAGTATATATTATGTTTATCTTTTTCTGTCAAACAAGCTTAAAGCCAACCTGATAAAACTAATTACCTTAAAGTTATATGTGTACATATTCATTTCATTCTTTAGTTAATGAGACCTTTTTAATACATTATTCTAATACCAGGCTGCACGGAAGGAATGTACATTGCACTTTTCGGAAACTTCTCATGGTTGAATGATAATCGCCATTGTTGTGAGGCCATCCTTGAGGAAAATGATGATCATTGCTGGGATAAACTGTACCCTATGCATTCAGACATCCCTCAAATCTACAAACATCATTGTACTGCCTTTTTAGAACCTTCTCCTTCTCCTTCTCCTTCTTCTTGGAATGGTTCTGATGAGATGGGTACTGAAGATGTTGAACAGTGTTGGGACTCTCTAAGGAACATTGAAGGATGTGTGGAGAGCATATTTTATGCACTGATTCATGGTGACTTTGCTAAGGTTGGCCAACAATGTTGCTTGGCCATTGAATCTGTTGCTTATGAGTGCTGGTTGAAGATGTTCCCTTGGAACCCTTTCTTTCCCACTTTGCTCACAGGATTTTGTAGGAATAATAACCATCAAAGCCCTAGTGTTTAATTAATTAAGTATTTGAGATATCTAGGTTTGAAATAATTAACTCCAGATCGAGTTTTTATAATTAAAGTCATCAAACAATATATGATCTTATTATTAGATTGTTGCTTTGGGTGGTGAGCAAAATGTTTAGGCATTAGAGTTGGGATTGAATGGTTTAAAGTCAATTTGCATAGGCTATTTATATATTACTCATCAATAAAATTTACATTAACAATGGGATTCGACTCGTATTCTTATGAATATTGGATGAAGTTTTGTCGGTTCTTTGGCATTATTATTGGGTGGAAGTGATTTAATATTTCTTTATCAGGAATTCAAATCTATTATGTATCTAAGGGATGGATAAAGAGATATAGATGTCTCCTATTTGAATCCATTGATGTTCAAATTTAAATTAATATTACTGGATATCAATAATTATAAAAAAATAATGGATATTTTTATCATATATTAATTATTTTTGTATTTATTTTAAATCATTCCAAATTAATTTTGTGTTTAATATAACAAAATAAATCAAATCCATATTTATGAATGAATATTATATTTTGAAAAAAATAGAATATTTTTTATTTGCGCACAAGTATCTTCTTTCATGGTATGACTAGGCCTTTTTATTAAAGTCGGTTGATAAGTTAGCTAAGTTATCTTTCAATTTAAATACTAATTTGTGCATCTTTGATCATTCCCTAACACTTATTCCAAGAGTTGAAGAATGATGAGGGATTCCCATCAATTTGAATTTGATGGTTGTAATCTTTTTGATTTGTAATGCATGTTTCAATTTATTTAAAAAAAATCAATTCAATTGACTCAAAATAAGACACACACACACAATTTTTATATGAATATTTATACATTTTATTAAGTCATACAAATATCTAATTTGTAATTAAAATCAGCAGGATTTGGCCAAAAAAAAAATAAAATCAGCATGATGAAGATATATATGTATACATATTAGTAAATACTCACTCCATTTTTATATATATAAAATTTTTTAAAACTTTTTTTGTCTCTAAATATAAAAAATTATTAGCATTTTTAATGAATGGACCATTATATTCTTATTAAATTAGAAAGAAAAAAGGATAAGTACTCTCATTAATTTACTTTAAAAAATGAGATTTATTTGTTATTTATAGTAATTAAGGGCAAAATTGTTTAACTTTTAGTGATTCACATGATTCGATTAAAAACATATTATATATAAGCACGGATGGAGTAAAAATCAAAGAAGTGACCATCTTATATGCATCAAAACATAATACTCCCTCCGTTCTAAAATATAAGATATTTTTAAATAAAATTTTACATATCTATAAATCTTATTAAATACAACTTAACAACCTTATCTTTTCAAAATAAAAATATAAACTTTTAAAAGTATCCATCATTTAATACATTGAAAAGAAAAAAAATAAAAATTAATTATAAAAAAAAGAGTAACATTAAAATTAATGTATTTAATAAAATATTAATTTATTTAAAATATCTTATATTTTAAAATAAAAAATTTTTTTAAAAAATATTATGAAAGTAATAGAAGGTAGCTGAGTGAGCAGCTGCAAGGAGAGAGAAAGATACATGGTAATTGGGCAGAAAGACCCAACTAACTATCATCGTAACGATCATAAAAACATGTCAGATGATTAATTATTATTATTCAACGACGAGAACAAGGGAAAGAGTTGTCCCAAGCATACTTGAATGTGAGTGGTTCATTGTAGACAGTTTGACCATTATTAACAAGACAGAGACCATCTCTCGAGACTTTGAACACTGAAGGATCAATGTTCTCTACTGTCTGAAAACCCTCACAGTTCAACTTGAGATCCAACTGAACGCACGTACACTTGTTTTCAATCGTCACGATCCATTCTGGTTTGTTCTGTACCGTCGCTCCAGTCCTGCTTTGGCTCACTGATATGTCTCTTAATGAACAGTTCGAAGCTTTGCCTGCATGCAGAATCATACACTTAAGCAGTTCAACTATAAATTGAAAAGGTTGAATCCGTTTATTTCCGATAAAAAGCAACGTAAAACTCAGGATATGCAGTGGCAATAAATAAGTATGGGCGCAAAATTTCAAATTTGTTGCACCAGGGTCATATAGCAAGGACGGACCTGACTCATATATAATATATATGGCTGAATTCAATTTTATCATTTTACCATTTTTTTACAAAGAAAAGAATAAACTAAAATACAAAGTAGTGTTTTCAGAACTAAACTGAATATTGAATTAAAAAGAATAGCGATTTGCTGGTCGTATGATTCAACTGGTTAAACCAATGATCAAAATAAATATAAAATTGTTATTTAACTTAAAAATAAAACTAAATATTTTAAATTTATCATAACTTAACAAGCCATATAATGCAATATAATATCAAACGATTAAAAAATTGATCATGTTTTAAAAAAATTGATAAAAAAATAAAAATGGTATTTTTTTGAACAGTCATGTTTTTATAAACCGGATTTAATTCCCAATCCGATTGTTGGTTCAAAGCGGCCCAACTCAATCCAACCTTCCAAATGATTTTTTCATACTGATCGAGCTAAAATCTAGACCGATTGACGGTCTGACTGTTCGGTTCGATCTGAATTTTTAATCATCGATACAATGAAAATAAACAATAAATAATAGAATAAAAAACTATAAAATTCTGTGTAACGAAATAATAATAATAATATCTGTACCATGGGCGATGAGGCCGACGAGCAGAAGCGTGGCAAGAATTTTGGTGGTGGCTGCCATTTTTTTCTGCAATAATAAAGCTTCTCTGGTGGTAATGATGGTGGGAGGCCTTATTAATAAGGCAGGAAAAAGATGGGGTACGAGATTGAATTCTTTGTTATTTATTACCTATTAATTAATACAGAACCATCGTTTTAAATTTTTAATTTATTAATTACCTCTGATTCTTTCTTATTTAAGTTCATTTATTTCTCGTTAATGACGCCCAATATGCAGCGTCTCGTTAGTTTAAATTGAGTGTTTGCTTTTGGCCAAAAACTTCTTGAGCGTTTGCTTATACATGAAGAGTATGTCTATTTTTTATCATTATTTTCTCTCCATTTCTCAATCACAATCGTTAACATCATTGCATTAAATGAATTTATTTTAATTTAATGATAATTTGAAAATTTTAAGATTAGGGTAAAATCTAGACTATCCAGCTTAAATGGTTTGCTTTGTTTTATTTTTATTAAAATAAAATTTATATAAATTGTGAAAAAATTTCAATAAATTTGCTCATCATCAACCAATCTAGATTGTCTAATTTAATTTTATAAATTTTTATAATTTTTATAAATTAATTATCCATATATACTTTGGATAATACAAATTTAATATTATTTTTATAAATTTTATAAATTTTTATTTTCATAAATATAATATGAAAAATAAAGATAATTTTCTTTTTTCAGCCGGCAAATAAAGATAATTTTCTAATATGTACTTTTCAAAAGATTTTTTAAAAAATTACAAGTTAAAAATTTTAAATCTTTATATCATAAAAATTGTAAATTTATATTGTCCATAGTATATCTGAATAAAAATTATTAAAACTTTTAAGATTAAATATAAATGATCCACATCAAATTTGATCTGTCTAAATTGATAATCAAGCAAATTTATTTAAATTTATATTATTTAGATTAAATTTGTACTATTTAGATTGGCAATGAATAAATTTATTAAAATTTTTTAAAATTTTGATAATTTTTATTTTCATAACAAAAGAATAAAAATTAAAATTAAAACATTTAGCCCTCACCTCAGCAAAGGCGTGGAGGACAAAAGACTCTATGGAGAAAAGTTGAGTCCCATACAAGAAAACCTAATTTGGCACCAAAAAAAAAAAACTCCTCTAATCCTTATTATAAGAAACTTTTTTAACTATCTCACTGAACCAATAATGTTAAATCATTAACTTTGTTTGAAAAATGTCAAACTTGCATTACATTATTTTTTCTCATAATTAATGAATTTAAATAAAAATAATATTAAAAATATATAATTAATATCTCATTAAGTATTGTTTGAACCAAAATCGGAGCACTAGGTCCAATTACAAAAGATCCCAAAGCCTAAATCAAAGGTGGAACACCATCCAAGAACGCATTAACTAAGGAATTTTTAAGTTCTTATAAGACAAGAAGGAAGCTATGGTGATAGACGAGAACTAGTTTCCCTCTGTGGCAACTATTAACATGGTGTAGAAAGGAGATATGAAGATGGAGAGAGGAGGTAAGGGTTGCGAAACGACTGGGATCTTGGGTACACTTGATCAACGACATAGATGGCAATACAAACTTCCTTACCAGCATAATGTATGGGTCAAAAATCCAGTGCCCCTCAAGGCTCTAAGGAAGAGAACAATCTTTTCCCTTAACCTGCATGAATGCATTAAGAAGTGAGACTGAAAAGATGGTCATTCCTCCGTGTGAAGTCCCAAGCATGCAATGGAACCTGGTTCGGCACCATAGGGCTCCCATCCCATTAACAAGAACTCAAAAATGTTACCTCCAACGAAAGGAGGCTACAACAAGACATAATAGGTAGCTTAAACTTCTAAGAGATTTCCTGCCATGGTATTCCGAGGGAAAATTTAGAGGAAAGCCACAAATGATGTTGATTCTAACAAATCCTTAGGGAGCAATGAGCTAAGGGCCCTTCTAAGCAACCAGCTAGCTTCGCTAATAACTAACATTGTTAGGTTTTCTTTCCCTCCGTGTTCTACTGTTTTGCTAACTTTGCTAGCTATTTTTCGATCAAGCTCTATTAAAGAATCAAGAAAGGCAAAACTTATAAAAGAACAAGTGATGGTAGAAGATTAGAACAGCGAGGAGGAGGTGGAAGAATGGAGTGCTCTAGCTGAAATGATAAAGGAGAACCTTAGTGACACCATAGAACTAGCTACCCAAAAGGTGGAGGCCTTCACAAAAGAGATCAATCACAACTAGTTTAGAACCCACTCTTTTGAAGACACACTCCTCTAACATGTTTGGTACACTTGAACACCTGAACAGATGTGACACTTCTACCCCTTCACTGAAAATCGAGTGAACAAATATCCTATATTAAAGAATGTATTTTAAAATGTCTAAGGTACAAAGTATATGTATACATGGGTGAAAATGGTAATATTCTTTTGTTAAAAAGATATATAAATGTCACATCAAGTGCGCAACAGGATATTTTGCTTCATGATGAGGGATATGGGTCTCTCATGCCATCGGTTAATGTCCCCATGGTTGTAATTGTTAGTTTCTTTTTATTGTGTCAATATTTGTTTTTGATGAAATTCTTGTGTTAATACTAAGTTGAAAAAATGACAGAAAAATCTCCTTGCAATATACAAACAACATTAAGGTCTTGCAAAATATAATAATTCTTTTCAAGTCTCATGAGACCTTCCTGACATTAATTTTTTTTTGTAAAATGATGATAATGCCCCCAATTTAAAATAAAAAAATGGATCAATGATAAAAAATTTTGCAAAATAAAACTTATCATTTGCTATCTCGTTTTAATTATTGTTAAAAAAAATAATCATTACTTAAATTAAAATAATTACTAATATTTATAACATTTAAACTTTAATGATTAAAAATTTTGCCGAGGGAAAGTTATAATTACTTATTTCATTTTAATTATTACCAAAAGAAAAATAGTCATAACTTAAATTAAAGTAGTTATTGATTACAACACTTGGACTTTAATGATTAAAAAACTTATAGAATAGAACTTGTCATTTGCTATCTTGTTGTAATTATTGTTGAAAAAAATAGGCATTGCTCAAGTTAAAATAGTCACCGTCATTATATTTAAAATTGAAATTATTACAGTCATTTCATAAAAGATATTAATGTCATGAAGGTCTCAAGGGAGTTGAGAAAAATTATTATATTTTACAAGACTTCATTATATTTATATATTTTAGGAGGATATTTTTTCATCATTTTTCTATTTAGTTTTTTTATTTCTTCATTCTTCTAATTCATTTTGATTATCTAAACCCGATTCATGGCCTAGTCTTGTGGCGGGTTTCTCACGGGTCAAATTTCGCTTCATGTTCCAAAATCGAACCCAATGGTCTTTCGGGTCGGACCTTAGTTTCATTGGTTAAGCGTACTTGACCCAACTTGTGGGACATCCGCCTTCCAATAGACCAAGTCTAAAATGTATCTGAACATTCAATGCATAAAGTGAGAGGCATTGATTTTTCATACCTAATGCTTATCTGCCTTGATCGCATTTTCAATGAAACTTTCTATATACTCTCCCCATAATTGACGTTTAACAATTAGATTTTTTATATTCTATTATCCTAATCCTAATTCCTCCTTGGGTGTTTTTGTTAAATCATTGTTCATAGTCACGTGGAAGTGGAATTCTACATTAAACGTAATAGCATGGTTAAGATGTGTTTATAATTTAAATGATTATACAATATTTTAATGTAACTAATATTGAATCTTATAAAACTTTGTATGATTATTTTTTTTTTAAACCAACTGTATGATTAGGTTTTCATGCACAAGGTTCGTCCTATATGACATGCCTTGTGGTATGAACATGGAAAGTGAGCAACAATGCGCCCTAGAAAATTTCATCTTACTGCTACACACACACACACACACACACACTGAACCGTCTGCCTGGTTAAGATCACGAAAATGGAATTAAAAAAAATGAAAATTAACAAAATAAGATGAAAATTAATTTGGTTATGTCAATTTAAAAACAATTGTAGAATTAAAAAAATGAATTGATAATGATAGTTATAACCAGTTAATAGTAATAATTAATAATAAAAATAATCAAGATAACTATAATTTTTAATCATCAAATATAGTGCATTTTATAAAAACAATTCAAAGTTATTTCTGGCTTTTTCTAAAAATGAAAATATTTTTGAAGCAACTAAACGAAAAACACTAACTCAACAAATTTTTAAATTTTTCTATTCTTAAAAATAAAAAATAGCTTTTAACAACAGAAAACAAACAGACCTTTAAGGGCGTATTTAAAACTGTTTTTATTTTATTTTTTAAAAAATTAATGTTTTATAAAACATATTCTGATAATAAATAAAATAATAAAAATGTGAGTTTGTCTTATTTTTCTTTATTCTTCAAAACAATAATCCTAAAATATTTAAAAAATGTTTCTGTTTTTTATTTTTCAAAACAATATTTTATTTTTTCTCTAAATAATTTTTGAAACATACTATCAAAAAGATTTTTTTTTTACTTTAGAGAATATAAAATTATTCCCAAAACAGATTTTCAAAGGTTTTTTTAAAAAAAATAAAAAAATTAAAAAAAAGTCATTTCAATAAGTGATTTAAATTTAATTACCAAACAAGGGAAGGGCAGTCCCTTCCTTTTACTCCAACCAAACAAGCCTTTAAAGAGTGAAATGATATTTTATCTTAACTTAAAATTTTAAAATTTAAATTTATGGGTCTTTCTGTTATTTTATATATACACACATATATTATTTATTAAATTTAATTTTTTTAATATAAAAATTCTCACATCAATTCAAATTTACTTTTATTAGACACCTTAACAAATTTATTATTATCTGGATAAAACTTATGTCAATTTGCTTATGTGTTAGGTTCAATTGTCCAATCAAATCTGAGCACATTGATTTTTGAATAATAAAAATTGAAATGGATAAAATTTCAAAATTCTTTAAACCATTAATAATAATAAATCAGATGCAGTAAGATTTGATTATATTGGACAATGGGACCAATTAGATTTACGTAAATAAACATATATGCATTATCTTTATTATTTTTTTAATGAAGGGATAATAATATTTATTAAAAACTTTAAAATGGTAATTACTTTGAAATGAAAAGTGGAACTTTTTTTTGCCAACAAAAAGTGGAAATTTAAAGATAACAATTTATTTTTCACCATTATTGCATAAACAAATAGGAAAAAGGAAAAATTGATTCCTAAATTATTAGTCTTTGATTGTCTAAGACTCTAAACTTATTTTTTGTATAATTTTTTTAATTTTTAAAAATAATACAATTTAGCATTTACTATTAATAAAGATTAATTTTAACTATTAGTTAATTAGAACATAACAAAAAAGAATTTCAAACATTACAAAAAAGGAGTAATTAATTTTTTGTGTCTTTTACTATAAATTTTGGATCTTTTTTTTATAATTTTAAGATAATTTTATAGTCAACTAAATGTTAAAGTTAATTTTTATTAATAGTAAAGGTGAGATTGTATATTTTTAAAAAAATTAAAAAAAATATTATACTAAAAATAAATTTAGGGTCTTAAAAGTTTTTAAATCTATAATTTAAGGGTTAATTTATTCTTCTATTCAAAAAAAGGTGTGTGTTTTTTATTTTATTTATTGGCAAGACTAGCGAATATCCTAAAAAATAAAAAGTAAAAACTACTCCCTTTCTTTCATATTAGTGTACACTTTTATGTACGCCCAAAACATTCGGTTAGTTAACATCCAAATTTTTTTTCCAACTTATACTAATCATTAAATATTTATTAATAAATAATTTCATATAACTATAGAGACACGTTAGGAAAAAAAACATATTAATTTCCATAAAAATTTGAAAAATGTCTTACGTATTAGTTATTACTTCCTCGAGTCCAATTTTTATGGCACTTGGAGAAAACAAAATTGGTCTTTCTTTTTATATGAAACATCACATTAAGTATTTATAACAATGATCTCTGCACGACAGAAATTTTTTTTTGAAAAAGTATAATTGCGAGTCTCCATACTTTTCGTGTATCTTGATATAAGTTCTTTTACTTTTTTATTGCTTCAAGTCTCTTAAATTTTTTTTTATCTACAATTAATCTCTATATTTTTAAATATAATCATAAGAACTTAACAATGACTAACATATACATAAATTCTATTACTTGGTGTGTCAACTTATTAAATTTATGATGAGATGTACAAAAATGAGTATAAAAAAAAGGCATTAAATTAGAATTTTTAAACATGCAATGGATGAAAATTCATAAAGAAAAAATAACATTTAGGGCTGGCAAGCAACAAAGTTTGTAGTCAATCATTTTACTCATACAATATCTAACAAATCATAATTTTACCAACTTAACAATTAAATTATTAGAGTTATGTACACATCAACTGATTTAACTCTTTCAGTGATAATAAAGACTGATAATATTGTAGACAAATGAAACTCAAGGATTTAATTAAAAAATATAAAAATTAGTATCAAAATATACCAAAGTTAAAATGGCTAAAAGTTATATTTTTTCAAAATTATTTAAGGATGTATGTGACATGAGCAAAGTAAGAGATTTCTTTTAGAGTTAATAAATTTTAAAATTTGTTCATTCAAATAAAAAGTATTAAAAATAACTTATAAATAAGATCACAAGTAATAAAATAAAATGTGATAAATAATTATATAATTATGAAATGAATATAGTAATTTATTTGGAAGTATTAGGTAAAATTAAATAGGATTGAGTGTAACGAAAGTAACTAAATTCTCATAATTTGACAAACTAACTTTAATTATATGTTGAAATAGATATTCAGATTTAATTTTAATATTTAACCATGACATGAATAAGATTATTTTTAATAAAAAAATTTATCTCATGTAACTAGATTTAGTGATTTACTTTGCGTCTAGTGGTTTTTTTTTTCTTATTAGCTTTTTAGATGACAACGTGTGTCTCATTGATTTTAAATCATTGAGTAAATTAAATGTCAAGGTTTGTGTTAAAGTAATTTTGTCGGCCACGCTCTCGTGCGCTTTCGTCTTGTGGAAGCAAACAAAATTGTCGTGGCAGTATCAATTTTTGCCGCCTAAAACCCTAATCGGACCAACCAAACGGTTTACCCTAACCGTATCAAACCCACTTCCCTAAACAAGGCTCCGCTGTCCGAACTTCTTTGAGTTCCTCTCTCTTCTCTTGCAAGTTGCAACATTACTCTTTACTGTGCTCTGTCAAATTTTACGCTTTTTTGTTTTGTTTTGTTTAGAGATTAAGTTGTCAACAATGGAGCTTGGAACCCTCAGCTCTGTGGACAGGACGGTGTTGATTCGCTCTCTAGTGGAGGCTTTGGTGGGGGAGGCTTTGCTGGCTGCTGGGAAAACTCTCGCTTGCCTTCTCATAGCAGTAATAACACTTCCAAGTCCTCATTTTTTTTTGGCATATTTAGTTAAAACAGTCTCGCAATTCATGTCAATGGCGCCATTAGTACTGATTATTATTCCAACTTTTTTATAGTTTAAAGTTATCATTTTTACTGTTGTTTATCAGAATCACAAGTTTTCCTGTGCTGTATGGTTTCTGGATATTTGTTGTTTTGTGCTTTATGTTGGTTTTTTGAAGTAACGATTTCCCCCTTCGTCGAGTGTAAAATATTGTGTTTGTGGAGAAAGGGAAAAAAGATTTTGATTCTGTTGGCATTTTGCTTTATGGCAGTGCATCATTTATATTCATCTTGATGCTCCTGGCTACATTTTGGTTGCTTTGGTTTTTTTTTTTTGGGGACATTGTTTTCAAACATTGTTGCTATTTATATCTATGTCACAAAAGTATTGTTAACCCTTTTCAGATTAAAGTTTACATTTTTACTCTCTTTTCATGTCTGAGTTATATTCGTTTCGATTTTCTTCTTAAATGTAACGATGCACCCGCATAGTTGAGTGTAAAGTGTTGTGTTTGTCAAAAGAAAGGCTATTTAGTTCAGTGGACATAACTGGGGCGGTACATCATCCTTCCAAAATGGTGCCATTTGCATAATGTGGTACATATTGAGGCTGCTCTGTTTGGTATGATCTGAGATCTATATTTAGTTGTGTTTTCTATGGTGTACATAATTTAGTAATTTGTCGTGTTTTCTTTGGTTGGTTAGCAACTTAGAATTTTAGTATCTAGGCCACCATTTTGCTTGTACTTTTTGGACTGATTGTGACTAAATTAGGCATCTTTTCACATGCTTGTTGATTGCTTCAGGCTTTTCTTATGCCACTTGAGTCTTTTTGTTTTTTTCCCTTGGTTTTATGGGAGCGTTCAGTAATGTTTAGCTAAGCAGTATAGGTGGTGCACACCAGATTCTGAGATATTCATGATGCATTTTTGTGCTTGCTAATTTCTATATTTGCTCTTGGTCATGATTAAGCACACCATTAAATGTTTTGTTTCCATTAGCCCTCTTATCGACAAAGGCTAAGGTAAAAAAGGATTCCAATGAGCCATTTCTGGCTGAGGATGTGATAGCTTCTAGGTATGGGATTTGGATTTGGTGAGTGGTGTAAGTTCACTCACTTGATGAATGTCTCAATTATAATTATTGGATTTCATTAATACTTGAAAATTATTAAGATACATTTCCCTTTAAAAATTTAAAACAATCCTCATGATCAAATCTCTCCTCACATATGTTGTGTTTTCCAAAAGTTTAAAATCCGGTATTTTCTGAGTATTGTATGACAAAATCTTTCACAGCTTTAATTAAATCAAATGGTTGTTATTGTACTACGTGAGACATTCATGAAGTAAATAGACTTAGGCCACTCACTTAAGGAGGTCTTGTTTGCATAAAGCACATTATTGATATTGTTGTCTTAGCGCTTGAAATGGTGAATTGTATGCTTTCTCTGTATTTCATGTTAAGATTATTGTGTGATTATTAATACCTATTAGTCCATCCTCCCAGCTTTGTCAAAGTTGAGAATTGTCTCTTCTACATTTGATTGGAACTGTTGGCAATTTAAAAAAAAATATTTAGGTTGCATCATTGCTCTATGCTTTGAATGCTAATTACAAATTGTCAATTTACAAAATATTTTGTTTGTATTGACCCTAGAATGGATCTCTGCCAATCGATGCCAGCAAGTCACCAAATTTGAGCAGGATCGATGGAAGGTAACAATGAATGGATATATATATATATATATATTTATTATATATATTCATTTACCGTCCAAATGGTGTTGGAGTTCATTTAATTCAGAACGTTCTGTCTCACTGATGTATCTCAATTTTTGTGTAGGTTTCCTCTGGATGAACTCCACCGAAAAGAACATTTATGTGAAGAAAACAAGGATGGTAGTGATACGGAGGATGACGACGACGATGACGATGAGGCTGACCAGGATGATGAGGATGATGATGGAGATGATGAGGACTTCTCTGGCGAAGGCGAGGATGATGGGGATCCTGATGATGATGTTGAGGCCAATGGTGGAGGAGACAGTGATGATGGTGATGACGACGACGAAGATGACGATGACGATGACGAAGACGGAGAAGATGAAGATGATGAAGACGAGGAGGAGGATGAAGAAGAGGAGGGTCCACAACCACCATCAAAAAAGAGGAAGTGAATACTATTATTATTGCAGTAGGTCAATTGTTTTCTATCCCTCCTTGTAATGTTGTCATTAGACTTAGTTATTAGGACATATTTATCATCCTCCACGAGCAGACCTATGACCTAGTCTTTCTCATCTCTCATTATAAACGTGATAATCAATATATCCACATTGTTGCTATTGTTGTCGCTTGTCCTCCTTGTATCTGTGGCCATTGAAGAATGTATTTTATTGAAGATGATTAGTCTTGCCCTTTGCCATCCTTCTCTTATGAATTCAGTGATGATTATTTTGGAACAAATTTGTATTTTGGGTAACAAGTTAACCAAATTGGCTTCTCTCCTCTTTAGCTTCTGATTAGAGTTGAAAGGTTTGACTGTAAGCTGTCAGACTAGATTAGAAGAATTAGTTGACAGGAGAATTAAGCAATCAAGAAACGATGCTTGTTTTGGGAGTAGGGAATCGGAGGGAGAGAAGTGGAAATGGAAATGGAAGATTCAGGCCCCACCCCCCCCCGGGTTGTTTTTTTTTTTTTTTTTGAGAATTCCATAATTTGACTATTTTGTCTCATTATTCTCACCTTGAAACAACCGATGACCTCCACAGCCTTTTTTGACTGTGACCTTCAGACTCTCTCTCTCTCTCTCGCTGTGTGTGTGTGTGTGTACGTACGCTTCCGTCTCTCTCATGTTCTTATTATATAAAATACTTTTAATTATTTTACCGAAATTAAGGGGAGATGATTAAATTATTTATTCTGTCTGAAAATAAACTAAATTTTTAATTTTATTTTATTTAAATAATTTTTTTTAAATTTATATTATATTTTCTTTTATATTTAACGAGTTTAAATAGGAATAATATAAAAAAAAAATATAATTATACCTCCTTATCACGTGTCTTATATTAGGATTGAAAAATTTTTCTACAAAATGTTTTATAATATAAACCAGAAGGAATATATATTTTGTTGATCTTCTCTCTATTTACACTGATTATGTTGCATGCACTATTATTTCAATATCAATCTTTCAGGAGAGGGGACTCTCCTCTCTCTCTCTCTCTCTCTCGTTTTCTCTCCACTTTTTCCATCTTCATCCTTCATTAATTCTATTATTAAAAAAATAATTTAATAAAATAATATGAATAGTGAAAATTGAGAAAGTGGAGAGAAAACAAGAGTCCCTCTTTCCCTATCTACCTTCCTGTGCTTGAGCAAGCATATTGTTTATCTTAAAATGTTGCAATTCTTAGAGTCCAAAAATGTCACTAGGAATAATTGAATGTTATGATCCAAATTAGTGCCATCCTTTTTATCGGAAAAATTCTTTGATTACAAATAAATCATTGCAGAAATTAGAGGAGAATTTCAAATAAGCGCTGTTTTGTCACACAACGGATGAAGATATGAATAAATTTTAGAAGTTGCAATTGCAGATCATTGCGCGGAGGGGAGGAATTTCTTATGAATTGCACTGCATGGGGCGCAATATTTCTAATGTACTACACCATTTATTGCCAAATTTTGCAATTATATAGATCTTGATGTTATCTAAATTGAATCAATTAATTTTTCATTCTTTATGAACTTGTGTGAATTTTCATATATAAGTGACTATCTAAAATGTTTTTTTTTAGTCACTTGAAATAACGTAAACAAAAGAAAAAGACACTTCAAAAATTTTGAGAATTAAACCGAAATAATATGCAAGAGTATATGTCCATAGAAAATAAGTTAGATCCATATCCGAATCTATAGTTCTCGCTTGAGATGTCTCCAGTATGCTTATGTGTTTCTTCTTTTCCTTTTATTCCTAAGATAGGACAATATCTTGTACCCAAGATATCATCAATAACCAAAACTTGTAATTAAAACTCAATTCTATGTGGAATGAGAAATCAGCAATAAGATGGTATCCTCTTGAAATAGGTTGGGTGAGACTTGACATCGATAGATCTATCAATGAGACAATGACTATGATATTGCTTAATGGAAATGAGATAGAAAGCTTCACTAAGTACCTTAGTTATCACCCTGCACCTCAATTAAATTTATGACCATCCTTAGAGCCTTAACCTTTGTTGGACTAGCGGACTCACGCAAGTTAAAACTTACTTGAATTCTTTTGAAATGCTCATCACTACTACAAAATAGTCTTTTAACATTGCATTTTTAGGCCTTCCACAACATAACTGGAGAGGACATCATATTACATGACTTAAAATAATAATTTATTCACGTCAAATATATCTGTGATGTAAAAAAAATTAACCATGTCCCCTTTAAGAAAGGATGTGGTTTCTAAAAAAATCACATCTCATTTTGCAAAGCGGAGACATGGTTTACAAGCAAACCACATTGCCTTCAATCTAAAGTGACGTGGTTTATGGAAACCACGTCCTCATTTGATGAGTGAGATATGGTTTATAAAGAAATAATGTCCCACTTTCAAAAGGAGGACATGGTTTCCCATTCTTATAACTTCAAAGACTGAGAAACCATATCCCCTTTTTAGTATCAGTGATGTGGTTTACGCCCCCCTTGTAGTAGTGGTGATGTGGTTTTGTATATACCACATCCCTCTTTTAACATTTGTGATATGGTTTTTACAATTTTTTTAAATATATAATTTGCATTTGTTTGACAACCAAAATAAAACTTGCCAAAGTATGCCACAGAAACAATCATTCATATAGCTAAAGTTCAGCAACTCATATTTACAATCATTTATATACCATACTCATACTTACAATCATTCATATACTATCACAGCAAAATATATCGAATTAAGTATACCAATGGAATAATAAAACTATTGTCACCTATTCAAGTGTCAATATTTATAGCCAAATTCTAAAAAATACTTAAACACATTAGTGTTTATATCCTTATAATTTTTCATTGTTTTTGCTAAAATTCTAACTTAATCAACAAACTATAAAATTACTATATAAATAACTCTTAAAGAAGATAACCTGCTAAATTATTTCAATGTCACTTATGTCTTCACTGGAATAGGGGTACTCATTGTCAAAAAGCTATAAATTTTTATTAAATGTTCATTAAATATCCAAATTCTAAATCCTTGCAAAACTAGTATTATTAAAATAAATAACAAATTAACTTACCATGTGTAAATTTTTATTAGTTTCATATTGAATAATCTCATACATATAACGGATAATATAATATCCACACTTTGTACTCCCTATTTGGTGATAGTACTAAAAATTAAAAATCAAATGATAAGTATAAACAAAAATATATATGAAATAATTGTGAATAAAAAGTATTCAATTGAAATTACTTACGTTTGAAAAGATCCAAGTCGGTGGGGGTTTTTTCTAGATACATTTTTTGTTGAGCAGCGCTTTTCCCCAGTCATATAATATATCTCTAGTTCTTTATCATGAAATTTAAATAAAACATAAAGTATTAAAACAGTATAAATATCTAATATTTATAAAAATAATTTTAAATCACGTGTTGAATGTATTTTTATTAAAATAATATAAATATCTTGTATTCATAAAAGTTATCTTAACTTACGTATTGATTATATTTTTAGTTTCAGTACTCGATTGCTTACCCATGGAACAAAACCAATACATTTAATATAAATACGGGCATACAACACAAAGGGATCAATGATAACTGTAAAGAGACAAATGAAATCAATACATGAAAGCATAAAAAATATTATCAAATTGAATATACATGTGTGTGTGTGTGTGTGTGTGTGTGTGTGTGTGTGTGTGTAAATGAATGAATATAAAAAACTTGCCCTTCAAGAATTGGGCCAGATAACATGAAAAATTTATTTGTAAAATAGTATTGCCCACATATCTCGTCTTATACTGATATCGTTGTTAGACAACATTAAAGAAGTTGGACACAAAAAACCAAATTGATTTTTTTTGGGTTTCGTACAGAGATTACTGAGAAACCTATTAATAGAAGGATATAAAAATTATTATATATAAATTAAAATAAATGATAATGAGATAGAATATAAATAATAAAATTACAAGATAGATCACATAGCCCATGAGATATCCAGGTCCTTCATCAACAAGAATTTTGAGATGTCTTTCTTGTTTATTGCAAAAGGATATAATTTGTCTATACCCACAATTCTTTTAGGTATTATCAAATTGATAGGATTTTTCATTGCCTTAAAAAATTCATGTAATTGTAGCAGACAAGAGTAGTCCTCAGCATCATAAAAATCCTAATGAAACATTAAATAAATAGAAATTCTATAAGTAATTAAAAGAGAAAATTAAAGAATAATGAAGAGTTTTTCTACTATCAAAGTTGTCATCCTCTGTGTCAATAAGTCTTTTAGGCCATAAAATGAATTGTCCCAGTGGTTTACCTAATTTTCCAACCTTATTAGTGGAAAATGGCACATTCATGTTTAGCTCAAGAACAACCTCAACTATCACCTTAACTTGAACGTTCGAAATATTCATGTTATGGATTGTTTCTGTGAGCATATATACTCCTGTTGAGAAAATTGAAGAATAATGAAGAGTTTTTCTACTATCAAGTATATATATCTATATATATATATAGATTGAGGGACAATAGTTGTGTGGGTCTTGCCGGTGTAAAGTTGCTTCGTCGTAAGTGGCTAGGGTTTCATTGACAGAAAGAGCTGCTAAGAGACAAAGACACAAATGGAGCTAAGAGACAAAGAATGAGGGAGCTATGATTGGGTTTTCGGCAAGGTAATAGAGATAGAGATGGAGAGGGAGGGAGTTAAGAGACAGAAAGATGGAGACAGAGATGGAGAGGGAGGGAGCTAAGAGACATAGAGATGGAGACAGAGAGGGATTGGGTTTTGAAAATAAGAAGCTAAGAGAGTGCGCGAGGCTCAAAAAATAGCCTATTCGATGTCACCGGTCACTGGAAGGGGACATGGATTTAAGAAAATTTAAAAAAAATTATAATCCATGTCCTCTTTTTATTTAGGTGATATGGATTGTGTTTTTTCTAAGTCACATTTTCAAAATGTGACATTAATTAGCATAATAAAAGTTCCATTTTGTAGTATTGTATGCTCATTAGGCACAAATTTTCCCAAAACTGCTTAGTCTCCAAAACCATAAAGAAAATTAGAGATCTCATAATAAGAAATTGAGTGATCATTTTCAATCACATGTGTAGAAATGAATTAATGCATCAATTAGCTTGCTCATCAGGCCATACATGATAGTTAAATATTAAGAATTTTTATGTCCCTTTGCCAAGGTA